AAAAAAAAAAAAAAAAAAAAAAAAAAAAAAAAAAAAAAAAAAAAAAAAAAACTGAAAACAAACTGTGACTGTTGTTGAACAAATTTGGATTTTCTTTTTTGTTTCTGTTTGATTTTGTTTGTTTGTTTTTGATACAGGGTTTCTCTGTGTAGCCCTGGCTGAACTGGAACTCACTCTGTGGACCAGGTTAGTCTCAAACTCAAATTATCCTGCCTCTGCCTCCCAAGTGCTGGGATTAAAGGCGTGAGCCACCACTGCCCGGCTGTTGAACAAATTTTAAAATAAAAGTGTAGCACATTTGCTTCATTAAGTTACAGGGGGAAACTAGGGTAGATGGTCTACAAATGCAAAGTGAGGTCCCAGAGAAACCAGCCAACGAACACTCTGATACCAAACTGTGGCCTCCTCCCAGACAGTGAATAAATCCTGTTGAGTTAAAAAGGAAAGTCAAAAGAAGGGCCAGAGGGATGGCTTGGTAGGGAAGGTACTCATTGCTTAAGTTTGGTCTCTGGGATCCACATAGTAGAAGGAGAAAACCAACTCCTTCTGCAAGTTATCCTCTAACCTCAGCAGGCTTGCGCCTGTGCTCGTGCACACACAGCATACAAACCAACTTCAATAAAAAATACCTGTGTTTGGAGTAAGGGGTCAGAGGATCAATGGAGTCACTGAGGAGGGCCTGAAAGCACGAGATTTCAAAAATCAGCATAGAAATGGAGCTTGAGAGATGGCTTGGTGGTATCTTTTTCTTTTTTTATGTATAAGTGCTCTGTCTGCATGTGTGCCTGCAGGCCAGAAGAGGGCACCAGGTTCCATTATAGATGGTTGTAAGCTGTCATGTGGGTGCTGGGAATTGAACTCAGGATCTCTGAAGAGCAGCCAGTGCTCTAAACCTCTGAGCCATCTCTCCAGCCCTGCAAGACCCTTTATTACAAATTTGGAAACAATAGCTTTATTGTAATATTCATTAAAACTTAATGGTATGCTAATGTATACCTTTCCTCCCTATTCCGTGCTTTGGTCTAGATGTAAAGTCTCCACTCTGACCAGAAACAATTTTCTTCACACTTATGAGACAGAGTCATTTCTCCAAGTCTGCAGAAAAGAGAACATCTATACCTAGAGAGCAAAGGGTTATGTGCTCATTTAAGCAGCAGAGATACTAAAATTGGAATGATACAGAGATCAGCATGGCCCCTGTTCAAGGAGGACACACAAGTTGTAAAATGTCTCATATTTAGGAAGAAGGGAAGGAAGAAAGTAAGAAAAGAAAGGAGTTAAGAACCAAGGTGGTGGTGGCGCACGCCTTTAATCCCAGCACTCGGAGGCAGAGGCAGGCGGATCTCTGTGAGTTTGAGACCAGCCTGGTCTACAAGAGCTAGTTCCAGGACAGG